ATTATCCCGCCTTCCTTCTTCCACATCAACGTCATTGAAGAAGTAGAATTCATTAAAGAATCAGACAGAGTTTCCTAATTTTTGCTAAGCTGAGTAAATTTCTTCACTTATGAATAATGGTTTTTTTCTTTGCTTATAAATTATAATTTCCATTTTTAGAAATAATATTCAGAAAGATAATTCTTCATTGTTACTTTAGAGCTTGTTTGCTTGTCGAAATGCTTTCAGAATAAATCCCTACACTCACGAGAAACAAAAATGGTTTATGTGGGGCTAGTTTGGCCATTTCGCACGGGGCAAGTTGGCCCGCGCTACTATACAGGGTTTATCAGAATGTGCGTTATAGAAATATCTCTGAATATGTGGGATGGAATTGTACCAGATTTATTATGCAAGATATTTGCTATGAAAAACCATGCAGACTCAATTTTGATTATAATTATGCAATACTATTTGCCGGTGACCATAAAAACTATATCTCAGTTTCTATTGAATAGAAATAAACTTTGTATATAATATACATAATGTGGATAATAACACAACTACGTTACTTTAATTAATAAAGTATAAAGTTTTATGATAGTCGCTTCATGTTAGTAGTGGCTCAACTTACCCCGCAGTCGGGGCAAGTTTTGCCAAGCGACTTAGTGTCGGTTTGAGGTCTTAAATTAATACCGATAGTTAATATATTCAAATTTTACTATGGCAAATTATTTCTGATGGTTCACTAATAGTGTTAGCTTAAAAAATTTTTTAAAAATTTGAATTCCTTTTTTTTTAAATTCTTAGAAGAAAAAACGGCAAAACTAGCCCCAGTCTACCCTACTTATTATCTATATATATCGCTGAAGAAGAAAGTTCGATTATATTTCAAGGGTTCGCAGCACGACGGCGGATTGTAACTCTTTCCCTTTATGCTTGTCATTTTGTCATGCGCTGTAAAGGATTTCGTTCATAAATAGGAAATAAATATTTTGTAGCTTACATGCACGTCTTTTCATTTTCGACTGGCGTTAAGGTTCTTGGATTAGGTAAGCGATTTTTGCTCTTAAATTGTGGTTAAATTGTAGTGTAGATTTATTCTATATTTGCATTCCACTTTGGAACTGCCAAAATGTTTATTAACCCTTTATAAGGCCGTGGTAAGTATCCTTACCACCAAATTCACTAATTTTTAAATGCAATTGTTAAAGTTGGAGTAAGCTCTCGCCAAATTTTTCGATGAAACAAAAACCTAGATGTTCCTGTTTCTTATCTCAAATCATAACAAAGTGTCTTGACTTGAAAATTAATTCATTGGGACATGCCAATAACAAAGATTTTAACATTCCAACCGTCCAATAAATTTGATCTGATGAATTCAGCTATGAGAAATGAGAATTTTAAGTTGTTAAACCGTGTTTTATGGCACATTATCGAAACATTGTGAAACATGAAATTTTTAATTAGAAATTTTAAAGAAAGTATTCGAATAAACATTCGATTTGGAACTGAATATAAAGAAACGAAAAATCGACTTGGTACGTGGAGTGCTAAATTTATGGTATGGTTTTTATTTGCGTCCATTATTATCCTATGTAAATGCAAAAAGTTAAAAAATGAAGTTCAAATACCTTCTATCTAACAAATTAAGCTAATTTCAGAAATGCTAAGATCATTTTTATTTTCATCCATGAAGTAATTTTTTTCAAAAATGACTTTCATAGACTTTAAATTATTTTGGTAGGAAAACTATTGATAATGAGTGTTTTCTTTCACTTCACAAGAAAGGCGAATGACATCCTACGTAAGTGACGAAACCCACAATTCTACTGACCTATTTTTATATCTCGTTTTATCATTGCAAACAAATCGATTTATAGAAGCAGCTGCTATTCGTGAGGTTCGGTGGTCTAGGGGTATGATTCTCGCTTAGGGTGCGAGAGGTCCCGGGTTCAAATCCCGGCCGAACACAATGGGATTTATTTTTTAATGCTATCTCTAGTACGATATCATTGTAAACAAATCGATTAATAGAAGAAGCTTCTGTTCGTGCGGTTCGGTAGTCAAGGGGTATGATTCTCGCTTAGGGTGCGAGAGGTCCCGGGTTCAAATAACGGACGAACCCAGTGGGATTTATTTTTTAATGCTCTCTCTAGTACGATATCATTGTAAACAAATCGATTAATTGCGGTTCGGTGGTCTAGGGGTATGTTTCGCGCTTAGGGAGCGAGAGGTCCCGGGTTCAAATCCCGGCCGACCCAATGAGATTTCTTTTTAATGCTCTCTCTAGCAAGATATCATTGTAAACAAATCGATTAATAGAAGAAGCTGATGATTGAGCTTGTGCGGTTCGGTGGTCTAGGGGTAGAATTCTAGCTTAGGGTGCGAGATGTCTCGGGTTCAATTCCCGGCCGAAACTAATGAGATTTGTTTTTTAATGCTCTCTCTAGAACAATATCATTGTAAAAAAATCGATTAATAGAAGAATCCGCTGTTCGTGCGGTTCGGTGGTGTAGCAGTATGATTCTCGCTTAGGGTGCGAGAGGTCCCGGGTTCAAATCCCGGCCGAACCTAATGGGATTTATTTTTTAATGCTCTCTCTAGTACGATATCATTGTAAACAAATCGATTAATCGAAGAAGCCGCTGTTAGTGCGGTTCGTTGGTTTAGGGGTATGATTCTCGCTTCGGGTGCGAGATGTCCCGGGTTCAAATCCCAGCCGACACAATGGGATTTATTTTTTAATGCTCTCTCTAGTACGATATCATTGTAAACAAATCGATTAATAGAAGAAGCTGATGTTCGTGCGGTTCGGTGGTCTAGAGGTATGTTTCTCGCTTAGTTTGTGAGAGGTCCCAAGTTCAAATACCGGCCGAACCCAATGGGATTTATTTTTTTATTGCTGTCTCTGGTACGATATCATTGTAAACAAATTGATTAATAGAAGAAGCATATGTTTTGCTTGTGCGGTTCGGCGTTCTAGGGGTATAATTCTCGCTTCTGATGCGAGAGGTCCCGGGTTCAAATCCCGGCCGAACCCAATGGGATTTATTTTTTAATGCTCTATCTAGTACGATATCATTGTAAAAAAATCGATTAATGGCGGTTCATTGGTCTATGGGTATGTTTTCGCTTAGGTGCGGAGGTGCCGGAGTTCAACTCAGGCGAACCCAAGGATATTTTTAATGTTCTCTAGTACGATATCATTAAACTCATCAGTGTAAAGATGCTAGCCAATTCGTAGTCCAAAAGTATTTCTCCTTCTGCAGGGAGAAGGATTTCAGTTCAAATCTGTAACATGTTTCCCTAACTAGAATTACATATCATAGAAATGATGTAAAGATACTATTATTCGTGTGCTTCGGAGTCTAAATTACTGGTAAAGATCCGAGGCTGAAACCAATGGATTTATTTTTAATGCCTCTCTAGTACGATATCATTGAAAACAAATCGATTAATTGCAGTTCAGTGGTCAAGGGTATGTTTCTCGCTTAGGGTGCGAGAGGTCCCGGTTCAAATCCCAGCGCAATTGGATTTATTTTTAATGTTCTCTAGTACGATATATTGTAAACAAATCGATTAATAAAAAATATGTTTGTGCTTGTGCGGTTCGGTGGTCTAGGGTATGATTCTCGCTAGGGTGCGAGAGGTCCGAGTTCAATCCGCCGAACCCAATGGGATTTATTTTTAATGCTCCCTAGTACGATATCATGTAAACTCGATTAATAGAAGCGGCGGTTCGTGCGGTTCGGTGGTCTAGGGGTGATTCTCGCTAGGGTGCGAGAGGGTCCGGTTCAAATCCGCCGACAATGGATTTTTTTTAATGCTCTCTATAAGTAGATATCATGTAAAAAATCGATTAATAGAAGAGCGCGTTCGTGCGTCGGTGTCTAGGGTATGATTCTCGCTTGGTGCGAGAGGTCGGTTCAAATCCCGAACCAAGGGGATTTATTTTTAATGCTCTCTCTGTACGATATCATTGTAAACAAATCGATTAATGGCGGTTCGGTGGTCTAGGGTATGTTTCTCGCTTAGGTGGAGAGGTCCGGGTTCAAATGCCGAACACAATGGGATTTATTTTTAATGCTGTCTCTAGTACGATATCATTTAAACAAATTGATTATATAGAAGATGATGTCTGCTTGTGCGGTTGGTGTCTAGGGATATAATTCTCGCTTTGTTTGCGTGTCAGTCAAATCCAGCCGAACCAATGGGATTTATTTTTAATGCTCTCTCTGTACGATATCATTGTAAAAAATCGATTAATAGAAGCGGTTCGGTGGTCTAGGTTATGTTTCTCGCTTGGGTGAGAGGTCCGGGTTCAAATCCCGCCGAACAATGGGATTTATTTTATAATGCTCTCTATACGATATCATTGTAAAAAATCGATTAATAGAAGAAGCATATGTTCGTGCGTTCTGGTCAAAGGTATTTTCTGCTTAGGGTGGGAGGTTCCGAGTTCAAATCCAGCCGAACACAATGGGATTTGTACAATAGCTCTCTCTAGTACGATATCATTGTAAACAAATTGATTAATAGAAGAAGCTGATGTCTACGATTGTGCGGTTCGGTGGTCTAGGGGTATGATTCTCGCTTTGTGTGCGAGAGGTCCCGTGTTCAAATCCCGGCCGAACCCAATGGGTTTTATTTTTAATGGTCTATCTAGTATGATATCATTGTAAACAAATCGATTATTTGAAGAAGCCGCTGTTCGTGCGGTTCGGTGGTCTAGGGGTATGATTCTCGCTTAGGGTGCGAGAGTTCCCGGGTTCAAATCCCGGCCGAACCCAATGGGATTTATTTTTTAATGCTCTCTCTAGTACGATATCATTGTAAAAAAAATCGATTAATAGAAGAAGCTGCTGTTCGTGCGGTTCGGTGGTCTAGGGGTATGATTCTCGCTTAGGGTGCGAGAGGTGCCGGGTTCAAATCCCGGCCGAACCCAATGGGATTTATTTTTTATTGCTCTCTCTAGTACGATATCATTGTAAACAAATCGATTAATGGCGGTTCGGTGGTCTAGGAGTATGTTTCTCGCTTAGGGTGGGAGAGGTTCCGGGTTCAAATCCCGGCCGAACACAATGGGATTTATATTTTAATGGTCTATCTAGTACGATATCATTGTAAACAAATCGATTAATAGAAGAAGCATATGTTTGTGCTTG